TTTATGTGCAGATCCCTAAATAGCTCCCTCTTTGTGCTTAGATATCTGGACCAAATTACATGAGTCACAAAGATGACAAAGTCTACCTCTGATCCAGAATGAAGTACAAGCAGGTACATTTTCCCCACTTTCCCCTGTTAAAACCTGCTGGGACACAAAGACACAATGACTTAAACTGATGTATGGTAATCCTCTGAAGCCAAGCTGTGAGATTCTAGAAATCTTTTTCCATCTGAAAGCTACCCAGCTCTTCCTGGCATCCCTTAAGCCACTTCATGGATGGAGATTTTTCAGTTGTCTCCACTGACCACAGATGTCCATGTTACTGATTTTTGAGCTTTCTGAATGTACAAGAGGCCTGAAGAGGAGCAGCCAGTGTTTTCCCTTCTGCTTTTAGTCCCCAAATATCACTGACTGTTTAGAATTGGCCCTTTCCCAGCCCTTCTGCTCTTCTGCATTTGTAAATGATCTCATCACTGACTTTTGAAATCCTCCGTGTACGACTCTGGCCTCCCCAGAGCTCATCGAAGTCACTTTTCTGTTGAGAGTGACCTGATATATTGATGCAGGGCCTGAGACAATAGCTGTGAGTTTTTTCTGCTTCCAGAACTGCTCTGTGTGAGGCAAGAAGGCTGTAGATAGTGGTTAAGTTATTTCTCGCCAGGCCTATATATTTAAAGCCTTGGTTAATGTTTAAGATTTATCTATTCTTAGGCTGTGGATGTAGCTCAGTGGTGCAGCACCTGCCTGGCAAGTGCAAGGCCCTGAGTTCGATTCCCAGTGCAAAAAAAAACAAAAACAAAAACAAAATTAATCATTCTCTTGGAGCACTGTTCCTGTAAGGCTTTAGGCAATCCAGACTATGACCTCGGCCATAGCAAAAGCGAGCTTTGAGCTCACAAAAGAAATGTGTCCACAAATTAGATCTTTAATAGAAATTAGTAAACTAGAAGATCATACAATTGAATACTTCTTTTCTTTTTCAGGACACTATCAGTTTAATTCTATATGTAACATAGCATTTCTTTACCAAAGATATGTAATCTATGATAAAATGAAACTCTGAGATATTATAAATATGTTAACAATATTTATAATAATAGTAATAATAATAATGTGACATGGTATAGGTTATTTATAAAATGCCTTACATTATAGGGGATATATTACATCTGATGTTGTTATTACTGCCACTAATAATATTTCTCCTACACTCATAATCTGAGAATGTCTTCTGAGCTCCATTTCCCAATATTTTGCTGTGCCTGACTCTGCAGCTGACTTGAATTCCTTGTTCACTGTCTGGTGATTCATTGCACTAAATACCATTTTCCTGATAATTAAAAACTGCTCACTGGCAAGTGAGAACAGGAACAGGCTGATGCAGGATTTATGCAGAAACACAAAATGAACCAAAAGACAAATGACCTGTTCTGCCTAGCTAAAGGAATTTTTTTCCTCTCGTCTTGTGGGACTTGAGAGAGCCTAGCTGTACTGAAGGAGAGCGGTCTGGGGAGATATGCCATTCCTACATGAGGTGGATGAAGGGAGAGCTGTTATGTGCATGCACTCAGCCAAATTGCTCTCCCGATTTAGAACACATAGACTGCTGCCTTCAGCCAGAGGAGCTGGGCCAGGGCCATCTCTTCCGTCAACCCTATTGGACCTTAGTTACAGGAAATAGCTTGAATTATCTGTTCGACCTTTCACTTTTGAGCTTCCCCTCTTCAGTATGACAGTGCTTTCTTCAGTTCAAAGAAAATAAGTACTGATTCCAAGTGTTGAAGAGATGCAGTAATTAGGGTGTTCATTATAAACAGACACTGTATGACATCGCCATGCCTGGGTTCTAGACTGCCTCCTTGGCTTCTGCTGAAAGGCCTTAGTGATAACCGAAGCCTCTGGCCTGAAAACAGCAGCCATGGCTGACCACACACACACACACACACACACACACACTCACACACACTCCCCTTAATTCTACAAGGCAACAGGCCTCTCTTTGGGAGTAAACCACCTCTGTCATCATAATACAAACTTCATCCCATGTCAGTGTACTTAGTCGCACATCATGGGACTAGAGAATAAAGGTGCCTTCAAGAGGCGAGGCCTCTCCCTTCTGGGAATAACTCCTTCCCCAAACTGGCTGGGCCCAATATCTGTAAAGCTCATTAACTCAGAATCATTTCCCACTCATCCTTGTATATGTCTTTACTTGCAAACCATTCATTACAGCACATTGTAGATTGTTTAATTAGTTTCCATGGAAGAGCTCCTGTAGGACAGCTTAGCATACATCTTTAAAAGCCCTTGATCTAAAATAACAAGGTAGTTATTTTTAAAGTAACTAATATGACCCTAAGCGGCTTATATCCCCCACTGCCCACCCAGCCTGGCTTCCCCTTCCTACCTCCCCAAACACCTCCTAGAACAATCTACTGGTCATGGTAATGAATCTATTAGTTGAGGAGGTCTCTCCCTGCACCAGGCACTGCGCTAGGCCTGTCACTTGCAATAGGTCTTTACTTTCACAGCCACCCTGGGAGAGAGTTGTTTTTTCCTCTATTGGCAGTGGAAAAAACTGCTAAGAGGACAGTTATGCAGGGCCAGTAGATAGCTTTAGGGTTCTGACCACCTGTTGATCCCAGTGTCTGTGCTCTTTACTTCCTCCCGTGCTGCACAAAATTTGTAAAAGTCACAGTTTGTTGACACTGGCCCACTGTTCCCTTCACATTCTGTGTGTGTCTGTTACCTTGTTTACCTCCCGCACCTCTCCAGTGCACACTGGCTGGCTTCCTCCTGCAGCATCTGTGTGTCTCTGCCTGAGGGAGGGCTTGTTCTGGCCATGGAGCCTTCAGCGCACTTGCATTGCAGGCCAGATAGCCCTCCCTACACAATAACTGATGAGAGTAGGTGTGGAAATGTCTCAGTTCCTTTACCCTAAGTTGGGCCAAATCTGAAGCCCACAGGCACCGGCACAGGCTCCCAGGGTGCTTCCCTGACTGATTCAGCGACACACCCATGCTCAGTGGGTGGCATAAGGACATACCTCATCCATACTATCTTAATTCACTTCTCCCCTGGGTGCGTCTTAGGATCACCTCTCTGATAAACCATTTGCTTTTGAAGCCTTGTCTCAGGGGTTGTCTCTAGGAACCCAACGTGAGCCCAGGGATGCCTGGAAGTGACATTTGGGTTTCTGACACACTATCAGCCTGGCTTCACTCTTTCTTGCTCTTCGTTTGTTCTGCATAGCATCTAAGAAAGAGATGATGTCTCATCTGTTTTGTCCTTTGTCCACCGATTCTCCCTCCCTCTCTCTGTCCCTCTCTCTGCCCCTCCCTCCTCTCTCCTTCCCCCCCATACCCACATTCCCTCATACCTACCCCTGAGGAAGTAGAACATTCTAGATAAAGGTTAGCGTATTTCTATTTGCTTTGTCCAAATTTTAATTGTTGCATTCCAAAGTCAGTGTCATCTAAAAGTTTTCCAGGAGCATTCTAAAAAGATGTTAAGTGCCCTAAAACCAACACCCTGCATGCCAGAGTGATTTCATTTAATGACTGGGAATAAACTCAATAACTCATTTTCTAGAAATACTCATGTTTCTTCACAGGACACTTGGTTCACTGGCTTTTAAAAAAAAATCTATCCTTATTTCTCTGCTGTATCTTCCTTCTTCCTTCGGATTATACTCTAGACTTGCCGGTGACGGGGTGACGGAGGCAACATTAGTTTAGGAGAGCCACCAGAAATTTTGGGGTGGAAAATGACAGAACCAGAGCATTGTGGAAGTTAGTGAGAAGCCAGAATAGAAGCTCCAAAGCAGAGCAGGGGTGAGTGTGACACTGAGATGGAACATGAAATCCAGCCTCAGCCCAGACTCCCAACCACTCTGCATGGAGCAAGGTGGCTTTTTCAGACCATTCTGCCCCTGCTAACCTGATATCTTCATGGGTGACACAGCAGCAGTTGGCAGAGAAAGCTGCCCTTCACAAGGATACGCCAGCCTTTGTGCTTTGCTTTCAGAGTCCCTGCCTTTCTCCTACCCCTACCACCGTGAAAACAATTTCTATTCCTCACTTAATGACACATCAAACATGTTGAAAAATTATGCTATGAATGAACCCATTTGTTGCTAGGGTTCTATTTACGTTTTTTTTTTTTTTTTTGTCCCCTCTCCTCTACTTTTTGAATGTATTTTTTCTGCAGTGACAATTCTCTATTTTGTCACCAAGTGCACCTATCTATCTTGCCACTGTATACATCAGTGACAAGGTCTATATTCCTTCATGTATTTCTCATCTACCATTTTATTTGTTTTTCATACTTCAGTGTGTCCAAAGGCATGGGGGTTCAATTACCATTTTTCTTTCTTTTCACTTTATTTTTTTCAATGTAGACTTTACTGTTTCTTCTGTTATTATATTTTAAGAGTTGCTCTTCACGTTTTCTCTTCTGATGTACTGTCTTGACACTTCTGTCTTGAAAGTTTTCTAATGGCAATTTCTTTCTTTTTAAAAAATCCATCCTCATCCCCCTTGTGGTTGTGGACCACAGCCATCGGTTATAACCTTAACTGTGGCTTCTGCACAGAAAAGGTGTCAAGTTGATAAATATTGATATCTACCCTTCCATTTCACCACCACTTTTCTACTAATGCATTTGGTTGGCATCAATCAGCTTCTTTGCCTTCTGTGAGCACCCAATGTGGGAACTGGTCCCAATCTGTCACTTATAAGTAATCTGTCCCACATTTCATCAAGAGCTCAAAAAGAAAAAAATATAGAGGAGAAGTAGAGGGCAGAGAACCAGGTTAGAATGGCCCAGAGGGAAGGGAGATGGGGAGGCCCAGCAAGACAAGGCTGGGCAGAGGAAGGCCGCAGCCTGGTGTGTAAGAGCCCTTCCCAGGAACATCCCCCGTGCAGGGAACATCAGCAGTACTCACTGGTAACTCTGTCCTCTCTGGGATGTTAACCCTGCTTATCTCCTCCAATAAGGCTCCCCAGGGATGAAGATCTACATTGACCCCTTCACTTATGAGGACCCAAATGAAGCTGTCCGGGAGTTTGCCAAGGAGATTGATGTATCTTTTGTGAAAATTGAAGAGGTCATCGGAGCAGGTATGGCTCTCTCCTTCCCTCGTCTCTGTCTTCTTGGTGTCTAGAGGTCTTTCCACACTCTAAGTGTTCTCTCTCAGCCCCAAAAGTCATCCACTGGGACGAAAGCTTCCACCTTCTTTAACCGCAACAGATGAACCTGAACTATCCACAATGTGTGTGCAGTGCAGAGAAAGGTCCTCAGAGTCTTTTGGGAACCTTCATTAGAGTTGCCAAACTTGGCTGGTGTTACAGAGAAGTCAACTGTAGTTTTAGAACTTTCAGGAGCAGTTGTGGTAATGGGCCATGAAATGCAGATAAGGAGAGAGATATAGGGTACCTAATCAAGATGACATTGAAAGAAAAAAATTAGAAGCTGGATCTGGTATCCCACCCACTGACCATGATACCTCAATGGCTTTGGATCAAGATTTCTTGCCATATTTTCAATTCTCCTCTTTCTAAGTATGTGCATTTGAATCTAGACCATACATTGAAACAAAAAGCCAGCCCAGTATAGACCTAACTGCTGAGATGTTCCCAGGAAATCATACCTAAAGTCTCCTCTTAGCACTCTCATTTTTCTTTAGTGGATTGGTGGTTGAGTAAATCTACTAATGGAGTTAGCCTTATTAATGTAATGAGATAAAATATCCCCAAATATTATTACTTTGAAATCACTTTACTACCTCTTATGAATATTTTTAAAGGTTATGTTTGATTTTTGTCCCTTTCTTTACATCTCCTTTTTTCTACAACATTCTTTGCCTTCTCTCCCTCAGTTCTTATTAGCCAATTGTCCAAGTTCTCTTCACCAATATGCCGTGAAGACAGCATCTTCTTTTTAGGTCCTAGGTCTAAAGTGGTTTATTTATATCACTCTTTGGAGAGTCATGGAGTGACATCTTGCAATAATATCTGAACTCAATAAAATATGTTTAGCTCAGACTTACAGAAAGCCACTTCATATATTATCTTTAGGGGAAATGTCACCATCCTTCCACTCACTGCGTCTCTTAATGCACCGAGGGGTCAAAAAGTCATCTGTGAAATTGGAAGTTGTGTCTGAAAGCCTGCCCCATTAGCTCACCATTTTCTTGCTCTGCTTTCCCTCCTGAAGAGCTTTGTCCTCTTTCAGCATCACTGGGCAGGCTCTGGGACTGTCCCTATCATGGTACACAACTGCCAACATCAGCCACTCAGGAGTTTCCAGCCCTCCAACCAGACTGATCCTCAAGTCTACATATACTTCCCAGAGTACCATGAAACGTGTTACAGAACCACGACTTCCACTGTGGGCAGATAATTTTCTCTTCCTCCTTAGATACTGACATATTTAAGGATTGTGCCCGGAAGGCTGGGTACCAGATAAATTGGATTACTCTTAGGGGCTCAGATTTCTCCAGTAAACTTGAAAGAGCGTTGGAAGCTCCCCAGCATTCAGTCCTGCCCTCTGTTTGCCCGAGTTATTAATTGTTGTTATGGCTTGTAGTAATGGCACTCATGATTTTAATGTTGTTATTTATGTTGCGTGCTTAGAGTGATGTGTTCTGGACTGCATTTTATCTTAGAGAACACACATCAGCCCCCCTCCTGCCTTTATCAGGGGAGGAGTAAAAAGCCTTCTCACTTTATGACCCTGCCAGGCGCTTACAGTTTGGGATGAGCTCACCAACAGTTGGATGCCCATAAAGGGAAACTGATGATCCTGCTCCATCTTCACCTTCCATTTGCTTACAGCACTTGTCAGCGCTGCTGTGTTTGTGCACACTGCCATCCCCTCCATGGATCACATGGTCTTGTGGAGAGATGCATTTAGCAATTTATGTTGTGCCCAGCAGCATGGTGTAAAGCCCTCTGCCCAGTTACTGCTGATCGCCTTCTACCAGAATCCCACCTCCTTGTGATCCAGAACCATCCCGGTTAACTCACTTCCCATAACCAGATGCAGTTTCAACCTAAGACACTCGTGGCTGGAATCAGTCTTTCTCCAGTTCCTTTTCCCTATCATCACTCTCCCTTCCCTTCAACCAGCCTCACTCAAACTTGCTCCACACTGTGCTAAAAGAGTTGATGTGAAGGTCAAATAAAAACATTTTTTCCAAGGTAAGATTTATACAACATAATTGGCAATGCTTCATTTTTTTTTAGCCACTTAGAAGATTTTGAGAAGGAAGATTTGAAGCAGAGAGCAAAAATTTGGTTGCATTATGCTAAAAAAAGAAAATAAAAATCAGAAGTCATTTTTCCTTCCTCCCTCCCTTTTCTTCTTTCCTCTGTTTTTTCTTTCTCCCCTTCTTTACCCTTCACTTCTGTCTTCCATCTCTCCTGTCTTTCTTTCCTTTTTTCCTCTGCTTTAGCTGAGTACTTCCCGCATACTGAGTACTTTAGCCGAGTACTTCCCGCATACTGAGTACTTTAGCCGAGTACTTCCCACATACTGAGTACTTTAGCCGAGTACTTCCCACATACTGAGTACTTTAGCCAAGTACTTCCCACATACTCGTGCAGAGCTCTCTCCACTCAAGGTCTGACAGTGTTAGTGGGAAATGGGCCAGTGAGTAAGAGTAAATCATTTCCACCATCCCCAATGCACACATACAGAAGGAGCTGGACCAGCACAGGCCAGTGTTTACATCCTTGTTCTGGGCAGGGCTGGAGGATCAGAAAGCCTCTACAAAGATGACCTTTAGCCTGAGCTTTCCAGGATGAAAGCTAGTAGAAAAAATAATTTTTTATGAAATACATTAGAAAGAATGAGACACTGATAGAAGAGGAAAATGAAATGAATCAAGGAGGAAAATGACCATAATCTTCCAGCAGGGCATGCAGGGGTCAGCCTGTGCTAAGGTAGCTCACAGGCACCAAGTATGTGCATCTCTCTCCAGCCCTTTTTCGGCAGCATGTTAGTAGCTTGATGTCAGCTATGACAGGAGTATTTACACCATGGGAATTGGCAAGTGCTATAAATCATAGGTCTATGTTTGTTTCGTTGCTTCTTTGTTTTTTGGAAAGCTAAAAGTTGAATTCTTACTAGCATGTCCCAGTTTATGTCAAAGAAGTTGTAGAGGCCTGTGACTACTCAATATGGAATCAAAGGAGAGGGCTGTGTTTTTTTGTTTGTTTTGTTTTGTTTTTTTTCTTTTTATTGAGGTTATTGGTACAATCTACGTATACAATTACATTCATCATTGGGATTCTGTACCTTTACATAATAGGTCTTCATTCTCATTTTTCCCCTTGTCCCTGCCCTCCCTTCATCCCCTCCTCCCCTCCCCATTTACAAACACTTTATTTCCATTTTTTCAGTTTCTCATATTTTTCCCCTCCCTTATTACCTTTCCCCCACCCTTCCCACTTTCCCTACACCTTTAGCCCTTTACTTCCTATTTCACATTATTAATTATCTCATTAGGATCCTGTGTACTATTACAGTTTTTCACACCAAAGAAACTATTTAGTATTTCAGTTAAAGCAGTCTCTGTATGAACATTAAAAATAGGGAATCCTAAAATAAAACTAAAAAGGAAAGTAAAAGAGAAAAGGCAATGATGTAACATCAAAATAATCCTTAATTCTGGAGATGAAAACTGTCCCTGAACATTTAGGGCTATGTTTTTTGCAGGAGGGATTACATTTAGAGTTCAGAAGATCCTTCATTAGACATTGTTTACGTGCCTGGGACCGTGATAGATTCTGGGAAAATATGCTCAATGTCTAACAGTCCCTGTGGTGCAGGGATTATGGTCCAGTATAGACACACAGTGCCATTCAATGAGTGAAAGAGGAGACTGGGAACTAAGAAGAGGTGTCCAGGGCATATACAGCCCGTAGAGATGGGAGGAGAGGCTCGAGGGCAAGGAAGAACTTAGGGCAGAGGGAAGTGAGGGATCCATGAGGACCTGGCAGCTTGGATAGGCTAGAAACAAGTGGAAGAGAAGGCTGCTGGAGAGGGCTTCCTGTGGGTGAGTTTGGAGCATGAGAGGCTGTGATACAGACTTCATCCTATGGAAAATAGATTTCTGAGTAGGTTGGGTGATAGGATGATGTTCAGAGAGCCAAATCTGATAAATGTTGTATTTTGATCAAACTGGTAGAAGGTGAGAGCAGAGGATGGGCAAGTGCTTGGAAGCCTAGAAAACAATGATAGGAATTTCCTTGGATGTAGGGAAGGGCTCGGAGAGAGCTGATGTTGGGTGGGATTAAGGATGTGGGGGCAGCCTGCACTGAAGTAACTTCATGTCCACACTGAATGTTTCCAACATGGTGAACAGAGTAACAGTGGTCTTGGAGATTGGTACTGCAGGGGATTGGTGGTGGGGAGAGGTGGCATGGAGATTATGGCCAGAAGTGAAGTTATCAGCTAAGGCATCCTGGCACCCAGATTGTGGGGTGTGGCAGTTGTGTATGTAAAGGCTAATGAAGTAAAATCAGAAAAACTATAAGACTGAAAAATTGCATTCACTGCCAGCATTTCTCCTGAAGTTGTTGAGGGTACTGAACAAAGGATAATTGTTCAAATAATTATGAGCCAGCTATGACATCACCTAAGAAAACTGAATAATTAATCAGTTTTAATTATTTAATGTCTGTCTTTCCTCACGATGCTCAAAGATCCATGGGTGTGAGAGAACACATGGTTTTGTTAGTCTGGAATCTGGTCTAGTGTGTGGCATTTAGTTGCTCAATTAAATATTTGTTGCATATGTGATAAAAGTAGATCCTTAGGAAAAAAATACAGCAAGGATAAAAATTTGGAGAACTAGTTAGAGTTTGGAGAATGAGGGGAGACTGAAGAGGTTGAGCAAGATCATGAATCATTTGATGCACTGAAAGTGGCACACTGGAGTGAAGGAAAACCAACCTTTCCTCATCACCCTGCAGAAAACAGGGTTAATTGAAGTCTCTGTAGAGAAGAAAACAGATCACTTGGTGTCTTTAGATTATTAGTTCGTTGTTACCATGGATCTGACTAAACGAAGTCACTTTGTAGGTCAGTTCCAATGCCTTGCTTAGTTTTGATC